CTTGGCCTCCCAGAGTGCTAGGATTACAGGCGTGAGCCACCGCACCCAGCCATAAGTAGAGTTATTAATAATAACTACTCTGGCTTAGTCAAGAGTGCTCCTGTTTTCACTAAGTTGATCCAGGGCAGAGGGACCCATTAAAATCATCTATATCACCTGGCATGTATTTATATTTTCAATAGCAAAACTACTGCCACTTACTGGTGTGTCCACATTTGGACCAAGGTCAATTTCTTCACCTTCCATCAAGTATTTTCCCCAGTCAAAATCATCTTTTTTTTCTAAAATGTAACAGAAGAACTTCTTCAGCATTATCATAAATAACTGAAAAAAAACCCAAAACTATAGCAAAAAAGGCCAATAAAACTCAAAATAAAATACACTCAGGAAATGAAAGTACAAAAATATTAAAACAATTAATAAATTGATATTCTAATACATTTACACTTTAATTAACTCACACTTAAAGGTGAGTTTTCTCTTTAAATAATTTAAGGTAGTTTAACTTCAAAGTTAGAACTTATACAGTCATCCCTCGGTGTCTGAGGGGAATGGGTTCTAGGACCCCCATCCCTGCTAATACAAAACTCCAAGGATGCTCAAGTCTCTTATATAAAGTGGTAGGTATACACATATAACCTCTGCACATCCTCCCATATACTTTAAATCATCTCTAGATTACTTATATTACTTATACCATATAAATAGTTGTTATATTATATTTTTAATTGCTGTATTGTTATTTATTTACTTATTTTGAATATTTTTGATGTGCAGTTGGTTGAATCTATGGATTTGGAACCTATAGATACAGAGGCTGACTGCATTTTAAATGAAATTTTGCAATTGCATCCAAAGCAACAGAAATATTTTAGTTTCACAGATTTTTACAACTTTTAATAAAACCTCAATGTCTAGTAATTAAGTAATAAAATCAATTTCTCTTTTATTTCTTATATGTTAAACCATTCATCTGGTAACATACCCACTTCTTTATCTCTTGGTGTTTCCACATAATTGCTGTTCGAAGGAGAATCAGACAGACACAGAAGAAGTGACAGTATGGAATAATGTGCATCTGTCTTTAAAACAAAAAATGAAGAACATGAATCACTGAGGTTGGTAAACGCTTTCTAAACTAGATTTGAGTAAATAAAACTCCGTGACAGCTAGGTCCCTAATTCTTTTCCTGGTTTGAGAAAACATGAGTTATACCAAAATAAATTCTAATCTCTAACCTTTTTTCATAGTTCAAGTATGTACACATAAGGAGCCTCAAAGCTATTTGAGGTCTGAGTTCTACATTTCTTTTTTTTGAGACAGGGTCTCACTATGTCACCAAACCTGGAGTGCAGTGGTACGATCTTAGCTTAGTGGTACGATCTGAGCTCAGTGCAGCCTGGAATTCCTGGGCTCAAGCGATCTCCTCCCTCAACTTCCCAAGTAACTGGGACTACAGGTGCATGCCACCACACCTGGCTAATTTCAAAAAAATGTTTTTTTAGAGATGAGGTCTTGATATGTGACCCAGGCTCATCTTTTTTTTTTTTTTTTTTAGACAGAGTCTTACTCTTTTGCCCGGGCTAGAG